CTTCTGTGATCCAGGCTTTTAAAGGGAACATTTGTCAGTGTTCAGCATCCACATTAAAGCTGGAGGGTTTGGGGGGCATCAGTGTTGGATCTGAGGGAGGAGAGAGGTTTGGGCAGACAGCACGTAATGGTTTGGGTTCAGCCAGTCTCCTTTATGGTTTTTCTTTTAGTAGGAGACATTAGCTGACATGTCCCTTCTGGGTGGTTTCATCTAAAGTGTTGGCATAGGCTGAAAGGGCAGACTTCTCATATTAAATATGTCTAGCTTATTTCTGCTCAACTGTTCTGTATGTTTTTATACTTGACTTTATGTTCCCTCTACTACCTGTGAACTATCTCTCTATTTCTAGTTTATTTGATCTGGGTCCCAGCTCCAGATGTGAAAGAAATCAGAGAATTGATATCTGTTTAAAGCAGGTTATTGAAGCTTGACTGCCTGATAGGTTTTAGCCTTAGGAGTTCCTTGCACCCTGCTTGTAGTTCTGGAATAGCTTGGTAACCTCTTACCTACATGCTGCTTCTGTCCTCTCTTTCTAAAGCTCCAGCGAAGGTACATAAATGGTCTGAAGCTACTTGTTTGTGACAAGGGACCATACAAGCTCACTTCTCACTAGCATTAAGGGTAAAAAGTAACCAGGCAGCCTCCATTAAACATTCTTTTCCTTCCCTGCAGGGCTCCGAGCAAGCCTGCAGTTTGGGGCTAAATTCGTACTTTGGATACTCTGTATAGCAGGCGTTATTTGTTGTGTATTAAAGACTAAAGTGACATCTTTACCGGATGCTCTTGTTATAGTAGAAATGATGCCAGAACAATCATCTTTGTTCCAAATCACGTCAGAATTGAAAATTGGCCAGGAGCTGCTTACCTGTGTCAGCATTGTTCTAAGGTTGTAGCTCCAGAGATGCTTCAATCTGAATGTAACTACGGGCTGCTCAGATGGAGGCTGGACTTCCAGAACTCTCTGGCCAAGGCCTGGCTCATCTTCTGTTTCCAGTCAGTTAAATCCCAGCAAAATTTCCAAACCAAATCCAGTCTCTAAGCGATCAGCAGAATTATGTAAAGATTAAGTAAAGAATTAAGTAAATTAAGCAGAATTAAGTAAAGATTATTCTGTATCAGCATATGGGAGGATATGCAGGTTGAGAGAAGAAAAGTCTGCTGTGCTATGGTAAAGCTCACAGTAAAGTTCTTAGCATGGATACAGTGAATACATTCAAATGAGGGACATCCATGCCTCTCATTTGGAGATGAGGGTAGTAAGTCCTTTTTTTTGTGGGAAGAAATTACTGACATGCCAAATACAGACCTGAGTCAAAAGAATGTTCATAAGTATCTTTATGGAGATTTTTTTTTTTTTAAAGCATCCTTATTCTCACTGGTATCTGGTGACTGCCCCTTTCTTATGTATTGTTCATGATGCAGTATTTGTAGAGGCATTCTATCCTTAGATCATCACAACTGCAACTGAGGGCAAGGTTTGTAGGGAAAGAGAACAACTTTAGGCTGGCTTATAAGCCTGGAAAAGACATGGTTTTGGGAGCACAGTTTCTCCTGAGAAGTAAAATCTTTAAGTGCATGTTGAGAACAACTACTTTGAGTGCAGTTTGTATTAATGAATTAGAAATTGAAGAGAAGGTTTCTTATACCTCTGAAACAGAAGGCCATGTGTGTGAGAGGAGTGGTGCCATAGGAACGAAGTCTACCACAAATCCTAACTCATTTTCACTCTTTTCAGTTGCTTCAAGTTTGACCAACTTCTAACTTTATAAGGCTGAAACTTGAGGGAGAGAGAGAACGGTTTCTGCCTAAAACCCTTTGTAAAACTACAATTAAAAATGGTTCAGTGAGTTTGCAGAATAAGGATAGAGTGGAAACGCTTTGTTTTCCCATGATTAAAAACTTGCCATTCGGCAGAGAAGCTTCAGCATGGTTTTTAAGCCTCTCATGCTCCAGAAATACAAATAGTGGAAAGTACTCAGACTCTTTGCTTTCACTGAAATCCACCCGTGTATGGTGGAGTTGTAAATCTTTGAAAATCAATATTGGTATGTGCTGAGTCCAAGTTAAAAAGGCAAACAGCAAAAGCCTCTTTGACATCTCTCTGTGATGAATATTAGCTATCCAGTGTCCGGCTTGAGCTGAACAGGAGCTCTGCTCCAAGTGTTCCCCAAAGTGAAGGGCTGCAGAGGAACTGGGGTCTAGATAATACCTTCTGGGCTGAGCAGGCAGTGAGGAGGAGGAGAAGACAGCTTGAGTAGGCTATTTCTGTGTGATACAATGCAGTACTGAAGATTGTGTTGCAACGCAAAAAATAACATAGTTCCCTATATAGTTGATTCTGTCATGCCACGAGTCAGTAAAGCCAGTGCACAAAACATGCAGCTGTGTGATTCCGGACAGTAATGCAACCTGTCTGCCTGTGCAAGTTCTTTCATGTAATTTTTGAAGGCTTAACTTTTCACTAGTTGTTTTCCATCTTGATCACTTAGCTGCTTTTTTGCAGTCATCTTGCACCTGGCTTAAACTTAGGTATGTATTCTCAGTCAGAATAGAGAGAGGGCTGACTGTCTGCACCTTACTTGGATCAGGTTGAATTTCTGGGCGCTCCAGGTAAGCAGAGATGTTGTTCAAAGCTGAAAGAGCATCCTTCCTTTGAGAAAGTAGAATTAGCCCATTTGAAATGCCATGCTGGTGTGTATCTGTTCTTGTAGTGTTGCTGTAGACAGAGAGGTATGAGTTTAGAAGGAAAGAGTAAGAGGATAATTATTATGGAAGTAGGGAAATCTATTAGGTAACAGAAAAGTGATGAGGGCATCTGGGCAGCTGTGAGATGGGAGATGCTGCCTCCTGCTCACCTTTTCTACATCTTGCCTCTTCCTCCTGCTCCCAAGTCCCACTTTTCTGTAGTGGCTTGCCGAAAAGCAGCTTGTATCTTTCAGGTTCTTTTCTTTTGCCTGTCCTTTTTCTTAGGAAAAGGAGATTTGAAGTTTGAGAGGCCTGAGAGTGACTGGTTTGCCACAGTGTTTTACTTCTCTTCCACTGGTGTTGCTCTCCTTTCCTTCTGTTGTGTTTGAAATGTGCTGTTGTCAATATCAGCTAGCTTTATTTTTTTTTGAAGCATGCTCTATGATACTGCTTTTGCCAGGCTGTTGCTCAGTCCTTCTGTGAGAGTTTCTTCATACCAGGAAGTTCATACTTTTAAAATTCATACGTGTAAAAGTAAATTTACTGAAATCTTTCAGGTTCTGTAACCGTTGGTGTGCTAGACCTGACCCCTCAGTTACCTTCTGTGAAAAGAGAGAGAGGTGGTGTTTGGGAGTCGTGGTGTGTCCACTCTTAGCGTGCTCTCCACTGCTGCCTCTGTGGTTAAGTTGTTCCTCACACAGCATTATTCATTCTGTCTAATTCTTTGCACAGACACGTTCCCCATTCTGCAGAGGAACCAGTGTGTCTACGTGTAGTATGTACTACAAGATTATTTTTTCCTCGGAGCTGTCCCAAGGCATCTCCTTCCTATTTTTGCTCCTTCAGGAGGAGGAGAGCCAAGTCTCTCCTAGCAGTGCTGCTTGTAGCCTCTTGCAGCCTCTTTTGACCCATTTCCTGGTGAATGAGAGAGTTGAGCGGAGGCCACAGGTCTGCCCATGAGAAACACAAGGAACATGAGTTGAGATCCATGTTAATTTCCCCCCGGAAGCTGCCTCTCTGTAATTACAGTTCCAACATCCTCCAGAAGAAAAGGGCCCCGTCCCCCCTGCAGCCCCCCTGGCACACGCGATGCTCCTTGCAGCAGGGAAGGCAGGCGTGGAGCGGGACAGGTCAGCTGGGGCCTGAGAACGCTCCCGGTCTCTGTCTTCCTTGCAGAAGGGGGGTGGGGGCTGTCCTCCCCCCCAGCCCCTTCCTTGCCCCTTCCCCCAAATCTCCCAAGTAAATACAATTTTATTTTATTATATTGCTGCCGATCTGCTGTTGTTTTTCATACAAAAAAGGTGGAAGGGGCAAGAAGGAACGAAAGAGTCTGGCGACAGGAAGAGATGAATTGCTGAAGAATGACACTGGCAGGGACTATTGTTCATTTTAACGCTGGAGCAGGAGCAGAGAGAAACGTTCACACGCCATTCTTGGGCATCCTGCTGGGCAGGCTAGGAAAGGGGCATTCCAGCTGGTCATGAGATTTGGCCGGACAGATTGAATTGGGCTGAATAGAGTGCTAGCTGTTTTTATTATTATTTTTTTTTTCTTATAAAAGCCCACTGATTAATTGCAATGGAACCCGATTAAAGGGAGAGTCTGAAACCCACATAGACACTACAGACATAAAGCTGTCAGCCTACCAGCATGGGATAACTGGGCCTTAACCCTTTACGAGGCTCACAGGGGAGGGGGATGCTCACCAGAGTCAGCCTTGCCCGGTCGGTGTTTACATGTTTGTGTGAGAGAAGACTTCTCTCATTTGGGGAAAGGGTTGTGTGCACAGCAGGAGCCCTGTAAACAGACTCTATCTCATGAAGGACAAGTGGCTGAAGAAAGAAAATAAGGTTTGGGGATATTGTGCTCATGGAGATGCTGTATGGGAATTTGCTGCAAGGTTGCTGGTTATATATTAATAAATTTGCAAGTTTAGCAACCCTTGTCCACATCTGTCTTCTCTTCTGGGCTTTCTTCAATACAACAATAGGAAAAAATTAATGAAGGGACCTGCAAAGTTCCACAGGCTCCATGTGGATTTTTGCAAACAAACTTAGCAGAAACACAAACAAACCAGTGGTATATATTAAGTGACAAAATGGGTAGGTGTGTAAAAGAATGTTGTAATCTATGGAAGAACAAAGCTGTAGTTCAGGTGAACATGGGAACTGATGCAGAGATTGAAAACAGAGAGACAACCTGGACATACGTTATCTGAGCAGTGAAAGGATGGAGTTTCAAGATGCTTAGAGACCTCTTTCTGAGTGAAAACCCTGGTTTCATTTCAAATCAATAGAAAATAAAGGTCTAAGTTGTGATACTTTTGGTTCTCTTTATTTATCACTCAACTGATTTAGTGTCTGGACATGGCTGAATGCTCTCTGCTCATTCTCCATCTTTACTATCATGATTGCAGTTTGCTTCTGCTGTTGAGAACAGATGAGTTATTCAAACAGACTCTTCAGGCTTTGAAAGGGGTCTCTGTGTTGCAGTGTGAGATTCTGGGGGGGAGGAAATGCTCTAGCCCCCCAGCAATGTTTAGCTTCAAGCATGGCAGAGTAAAAGATGGCAATGTAAGATCTCTAATGAGAGTGCCGTTCGGCCGTTTTATCCTTTTCTACAGCAAACCCTGCACGTGTGTGCCCACTGGCTCGGAAATGTTTCCCTAGAGAGGTGAAAAGAGCAGGGATACAGTTGGTAGCAAACAAAGGTTCTTTGTGGGGCCTTTGGGAACATGATGGAGGGATTACTTTTTGCTATCTAAAATCTTCCAATTCATCTCTCCGAATGATTTACAGGAGCAATGGGAGGTTCCTGAGCAGAAAGTTGCTCGTCTTCCTTTTTCTTGTCTTGCATCTGTGGTTGCTTCTGTCGGAAGTGATCAGTGCAGGTTGTTCCCTCACTGGCTTGGATTCACAGGAAGCAACTGGGGGAGTCTTCATGCTCAGCTTCTTCCTGTCGAGAGAAGGAAAAATATCATAACAGACGGAAATATCTTTATCCTCTCTTTACATAGATGTTTGTATTAGATGGAGTGTTTGAGTATTCAAGGCAAGAAGGGCACTATGCTAAATCCATACAATTCATCAGTGAAAATGGAGAACGGTATGAATGGACAGTTAGGATCTTGCATATTGCCCTGTGAGAACACAGGCTCTGTGAAGATCCCGAGCGGGGAGACTGGAAGTAACCACCTGCTCTTGGTTGACCAAGGACAGGAGTTAAGTTTCACGGTAACTCAGCTTTGACATAGCCAACGAGCTGGGAATAACAGAATTTCCTCGTTCTTATTCTGTATTTTGAATGTGGAGAAAGGAAGGTGGATGAGAACTCCTGTAGTTAGAAAAAAAAAATAGGAGAAAGTGAGACCTAAAGAGTGCTGTTCACACAACCTAGTAGGAGGTTGGATAGGGGAGTCACTTCTGCACAAAAATATTCTTACTCGGTGGTGTCTTCCCGTATCTTGTTTCTTTTTTCTGTTTCTTCTGTTTGTTTGTGCCTCCCCCTCCTTCCTCCCTGCCACCTACTAGTCCTGCTGTAGTCCTTTCCTGCAGCTCTGTTAACGTTTAACAAATTTCCCTTCAGTTCCTATGTTTCTTTTGGCTGTAGCTCAAGGCAAACTCCCCAGATCCAAAACTAATTTAGGGCTCTGAGCAACAGTAGCATTTAAATGTTGGCTTTGTGCCATCAGGCGGGCAGCCTCTTCACTGAGAAGAAATCTAATTCCAGTGTTTATTAGATCAACAGTGGCCTCAGGGCTGGACTTCCTTTAATGTTGGCCTTTTAATAATCGTAAGGCTAATACAGGAACTTGGGACCCCCAGGAGGGTCTCAGGAGCCTGGCTCTGACCTTTTTTTGGGGAAGCAGGACTTGGATCTTGCTTAATTTGGGTCAGGGAGTGGAGGGGAGCAGACTGGTGAAGTGGAGCGGGAGGTGTTATTTTGACTTCCCCAGCAGTGTGTGTAAATCCTTCCCCATTTGTGCAATGGTGACTTTGATTTCCTGCGAGTTTGTTTTAATGAGCTCTCTGGGGTAAGGACCTAGGTAGGGCAGGGCAAATTGTGCCCTGATTAAGAAGTGGACTGGGACTGGGTAGGATCTGCGTTAATTTCTCCATTTGGCCACAGGCTCTTGGGGAAGTCACTTAGGACTCAGGTTTCCAAGCACGAAGAGTGCCTGCGGTGGGAGGTATGAGTACTCGGTAATACCGAGCATCAGGTCTAAATCTTCTGGGCCAGATGTGTAATGATAGGTAAATGTCTAATTTTCCGCCGTTTTTAAATGACTTAGGCACTCAAGTGCTCACAGATCTATGCCGCTGGGCTTCCCCTTTCTGCTTTTGAACCAAAGATGATACTTCCCAGCTTCAAGGGGTGCTGAAATCTTTCATTAAAGGAGAAAGGCTCTCTGACACTACCGTAGTGGAGAAAGATGTGCTTCCATAATTAGGCCACGTTGCTTTTTCTGCATCTTCCTCTGCCTGCCTCAGTGCCGTTGCCATTATTTCGTGGAAGGTGGAGGTGAAACCCAACATCAACAATATGAAATTGGCTGTATGGGATTCTCTGGTCCTTTTTCACTCTTGTGGTTAATTTTTCCGCCATGGGAATACGAACGAACTGCGGAGCTCGTGGCTTTGTGCAGGCAGCACCTGAGCCCCACAGCTGAAGCAGAGGAAGAGCTTTGCGACCACTCCGTAAGTCATGCGAAGGAGCCTCGAGGCCAGGCGCTGTGGGAGGTGCAGGACGGTGCTTCGTGAGCTGCCTAGAAAGCGAGCGAGTGCGGGTGGGCTGAATGGGGCCGATGCACAGCATAGCTGCCCTGCAGTAACCCCACTCCGAAGTTCTTGCTTTTCCTCTTGGCAAATCTATTGGAAAGAACTTGTCCCATCTGAGCCCATAAAACATGCTCGTGTTAAACTTGTGCCTTTGAGTGCAAGAGTGCACGTGTGTGTGTGTGTGTGTACTCAAAAAACGTTACTTTTTTTTTTTTCCTTTTTTTTTCCTTTTAAGTGAATCCAGTTCTCTGGTAGGCAGTACGGTTGCTGTGATGTCTTTGTGGTCGTGTGGTACTTCTCTTTGCCAGGCCCAACCCTGTTCTTCCAGCTCAGTCTGGCCAGCTAATAATTGCCCCTTCGCTGCTCATCCTCTGAGGGCAACATAATATCATGTGTGGGATTATTTTTTTTATATTTTTATTTTATTTTTCTTGAAAAAGCAGTACAGAACAACTCTTTTTCCCAAGATAGCTCCGTTTATCTTGTGGTTTGCGCTTTTGAAGTCCTCCTGCCTGTGGGATTGCAAAAATGAGCTTGTGCCTCCTTATTGCCACAAAACCACCCTGTGTATCCTACCCCTTCCCTGGAGAACTCCTCTGCTAAGCTGAGCTATTGTGGTTGGCTTCCCAGTTTCTTGTGCGGCAGGGAGCTGGAAAGCTCCAGAGCTCAGATGCTGCACCACGAACATGATGGCTTCTTTAAAGGAGACCAAAATAAACTTCTTAAAATGACCCTGTCAGAGAGCAGTCTCTGTCTTATCCAGGAGCCTGGCCTTTTCTGTATTATGCCATCATGATGAGAAGAAGCTGACTGCAGCCTGCAAAAGCCAAAATGGGCTTTGGGGGTGGTGATGGTGGGGGGAACTCCTGTCATCTCCTCACCTTACGTGCCTGGACAACTGCAAAGTGTTCGGTTCCTGGAAAAGGAGGACTTTATAATGCTTACATTTTATTTCCTGAAAAGAGATGTATGAATGTCTATGCTGATGTATCCTGATCAGGACAGGAGAACTTGGCTTTTGTTTTGGGTAGGTTAAACAAACAAAGGAACGTCCTGGCTTCTAGCTCTGGAGAAAAGCTGGGCATGACAGAACATCCTTACAGCTAGTCCAGTGCCTGGAGAATCATACGGATGAAAGAGGCTGACTGACAATTTCCTGTGGAACAAAGTTATTTAGTGTACTTCAGAGAGCTGGTGCAGGAGGAAACCGTGAAGGCCAGTTCAGCAATTGCATCTGAATGTATTGTGAGCAAGGTTTTGGATGCTTTGTAAATCGAGAGCACTGGATTGGACAAGCACTGATGCTCTAATTGATGAAGATTATAAAAGGTGCAGGAGAGAAAGCTAAAAGCTCAAGAAGCTTCTGAATCTGAAGAGAAAGGAGCCAATTTCTTAGAGGATCTGTGGCAATGAGGTGGTTGTGTATAATCTTTTGTGCTCTGAACTTCCCTAAGTATGTTTACCAGACTTTTAATCCTTGCAATTCAGATCCAAAAGTGTCACTTTCAGCTTTCTTGGCTCTGTGAAGCCTCCGAGTGCTACTTTTCAAGCAAGGATGGCAGCAGTGCTTTTCTACTCCTAGCTGTCCTCTTTTGACCACTCTATTTTCTTAGCCCCACTCCCCCCACATCCAAGAGACAGCTCAGCTTCTTGGGAAGCTGCAGTTAAACAGGTGCGGTTTATAGATGGTAGACGTAGCTGTCCTCCTACAAAACTAAAAACTTTTTTAAGCTCAAATCAGGTTGAATTAGATCATGCACAGTGAGATGACAGCTCTGTCTCAGCTGCTAAGCAAGGGATTTAGGAAATCCCAAAGATGCTTAGAGCTTGGAAGAGGACATGACAGGAATGGGAGCAGAAACAGAGTGAATGTTGGAACTGTACTGAAAGTTTGTTTGCCCTGAAAGTTAATATTTGGGTTACTTAAACTAAGGGAAGTGAAGTAGAAGAGGGAGGAATGCATGGATACAAATTCAAGGGTTTTTTTTCCTCATATTACTGTTACAAGTGACAGATGCTGAACTGTTTTTCATTAGGTGTTGTAGTCTGCTTGCTCTCATTTCCATTCAGAGAAGGGGAAGAATTGGAAAGCTTCAGAATTTGTGAAATACCTCTGAACTTCTGATTCTTCCAAGTCACTTCCAGGACGTGACAGAGTATATATTTGCTGTGACTGTAGAAAAGCTCAGGTGCTCCTGCAGCTGAGGTAATGTAAAGCTCACTGTAGGATAATTGCTTCTAGTATTTACTTGACTACTTTAGCAGGTGGATTGGGCTCTGTGCATTTGTGACCTGACTGCTACCCAAACCTTAGTCAACTAAGTCACCTCTTTCAGAGCTAACTTCAGTAGATCTGCAGTATGCCTTAGGGACAGTAGCAATTGAAGCAACCTGTTTGCAAAACAGTGTCTGTAGCAGTAAGAGCAGGCAGGGGGTTATTTCTAGGGTCTTGCAGAGAACCTGTTTTCCAAAACTTCCTTCTGAAGGGCTGTAAGTGGCAGCATTTGGTTAAAGCAGTGAGCTGCTGCTTCAGTTACAGTATGTTTGATATATGGGATGTGCAGGATGTAACCTTGGAAGTCAAGAAGCGGTGGTGTTGAGGTTAGAAGATGGAGAAGTTGTGTCTTTCGTAACATCTGGTGGACCCATCGTACCCAGACTATGCCTCTGGGGAAACTTCTTTGTCTTGGCCAATTAAAGCTTTGGGGAATAAACCTATCATTAGGGTCATGAGTGTTGCATCGTGTAGGCCACATTTCAATAACTTGAGGGGTGGTGTTTGTCCTGCTTCCTTCTGTTAAGAATCGTGTGCTTCCCTGTGGCAAGCGCAGCAGTTTTGTGTGTTTATCCTTAGCTTTTTATTGTAATCTTGCTTTTAGGAGGATATACCATGAGAAAACTATCTAGAAATTCCCTTATAATGGATATTCCCTCATAACTTTCTGCCAGAAATGTGAACCAGTCTAACTCCAAAGCTCAGTTTGTTATCTGTAGAAGAGAAAGATTAACTTTTTCACTATTTCGTAGACAGAGGGATTTCTCTAAAGGAAAGCTTATGAAACTAAAATAGTGCTGCTTTCTGTCCTGTAACTGGGGAAACAAACTCCAGTACTTCACTAGCCCTAATCAACATCTATAGGTCATCTCCATGGACATACAAGAGTAGAAGAAGGATTT